TGGGAATGATAGTGTGACAGAATGCTATTAAATCTATGGGTGATGCATAATGCACTTACAGTACATCCATTTCCCCACAACATGCATCTATTTTGGAGACGTAATTTCTTGAACTGCTATTGTTAATAACATGCTAATCAAACAAGATGCATAACAGGATCTGGATAAAAGTACAAGACAAAATAAGAACAGGAATAAACTTTGCCTTTAAACGTTGGACTTGATTACTTAGAACCCCATTTAAGAACTTCAAAGACCAGGAGTAATGTACAGGAGAAAGAAGAAACTGGGGAGTCAGATTTGTTACCTAGCAACAAGAGACCAGTATATGAACAGCAACAGATGGTGAGGAAATAGTTATTTCGGAAAATAAGAAGGGAAAGGAGACACCAAGCACCAGAAAGGGAGTAGCCGTTACCATGTAACATGAGGGATTTAGAAGCCTAGCAACAGGAGCCGAGGGAAGAAGTCCCTTAGCAACAGAGATTTAGAGCTGGAACAAATCACAACTTTACCTAAACTACCACCATTTCATTATCTGGATCTTGTTTTTAATTCCTGATCAAGTACTGTATCATCTAATACCATAATGTTATAATTAAAAGATATGAATTGAAGTTGGAATACTGTTAGCACTTGCACAACTAAACTTTAGAGATTAGGAGTTTAATACTGTTTCACTGAGTGAATGGCTACTCATAAAATGTACACTTACACCTGTAGAAGATTACATTAAAAAAAACTTAAGAGGTGGATATGATTTTACATTTTGATTTAAAAAACCCACAAACTACACCACTCTCCAAACAAAGCAGTGTATCATTTTAGAATCCCTGAAATGATTTTTGAAAAGGTTAGAAAGATCATTCGGAGCACAAAATGCACACTGATTCTCACTTCTCTTTCTGCATCGTTCCATGTTCAGAAAAAGTGAAGAAAACAAAAATTCATTGAGACAAATTTAGATACAAAATTGCATTTCAACACAAAAGGAATGTAAATTAAGAGATTTAGAAATATAAAGAGCAATATATATCCTGGTTAAGAAATGCTGTGGCACATCAGATTAAAAACATTGTTATATACAGTAGTGTGATAAAACATTCAAGAACCATAGAGTTTCTTTTTACAATAAAAATCAAATAATATTAAGCCCTTTGCCCAGTTTGATCAAGCATGCATTCTAGCCTTGCCTGAAGCATCCTAATAAACCCACTGAAGCCATTGGTTTCACTGCAATATTCATGAATAGATCCAGGCCAGTAACATTTTCTGGAGATAAGATCAAAATAGATTGTTTCATACACAGACCAGGCAAGGTTTAAATAGCCTTCAAATTAAGAAGTGCAGTTATTTGTATCATTTTTATTGGCTTCAGATAAAGAATAGGGCACACATCATGTCACAGAAAATAATGTGGGTTCTGGAAAAAAACCCCACAAAAGATTCATTTCTTTTCAGTCTTAAAGGAACGTCGTGCATAGACAGGCTTTAAAAAACAGTTTTTTCTTCTTGGAACAATGGGAAAGTTATTCAAATATTTAAAGTGTTCAAAGGCAATAACAGTCTTAACTGTTACATACAGTAATGTACTTCATAATTAAAAGCAAAATCCAGACCATAAATGGACATTTCAAACTGAGAATAGAGTCCCTTCCTTATGTAAACGGTTGTGGAGACATGGAACTAGCTGCCCAGCTAAATTAGAGCTGAATTTGACCTGGTTTATTTTAAAATGAGACCAGATGATATCCATAGATCAATTTGATACTAGCAAACAAATTAGCTAAATAGACTGAATGACCTACTCTTACTTCTAAACTTTCTTGTGTTCTTATGAATGGAAAATATATTATGGGTGGGATATCACTTTGTTTTATCTCCTCATCCTTTCACAGAAAATGACATCCCTGAGAACTACACCTGAGGATAAAGAAATTAAAAGGACATGAATGAGCTAATATACTGTATTAGATAGGTTTTAATGAAGAGCGTCAGAAAGACAATGGCATTTTCTATGGCTCATTGAGGAGTGTGTGACACTTAACAGTTTTCCAGTTCTTTTGCTGAGAAGCTAATCTGTGGGCTCAAAGAAAACAAATTTCAGGAGTGCAATGTGCTCTGCAGGTAGTAAATGTTCCCTTGAAATGCTTTATTGAATTTTATAAAGCACACACAAGCCATGTGTTCTTGTCTTCCTCTGATATCAATGTGTTTAAGCCAAGTTAAATCACTGCTATTGTATTCATTGTCCTAGTTGACCATATCTTGGCCCTAACTTTTTGCTGGTCTTCTTTAGTCACCAGAAATGTACTTTCATGCTATCTCTATGTTTTTGCTAGTTTCTAGTTGCTAGTGACCATTTATTTGCTAATTAAGATAATTCAACCGTCAAAAAGGAAGATCTACATACTTCCTCTCCAACTCTTCCACCTGATGGAGCCATTTTCATTTGACATACAGGTATACAGGTATACTGTAGCAGTACCTTACAGTACAGTTAAGGAACCAGCAGAGGTTAATTCCATGCAGTCAGATAAAGAGTAAAATTCACAATGTTGTTATCAGGTGAGTGAAGGTTGAAAGTGACGGGGCAGGAACTGAAGGGATACAGGTCTGACGGAAAAAGAAATCGAAGGTGAAAAGGGCAGCAATTTATTGCTTGGGGCAGTAAGGCAAAATCCAAGGGGAGGTTTGAAAGGCAGGCATGTGTTAATTCAAAGAATGAATGGAACTGAAAAAGATTAGCCAATTGTTTTGTGCAGGGGAGTGTGTGAACCTAGAGACTGTTGGTGAACTTGGCCTCTTGTATAAGGATTTGAATCCTTGTGATAAAGAATGATTCAAAAACATTAGTTATCTACATAATCCTAGTTCTGTAAGTTTTACACATGGAGCCTGTCTGGACCTAACATAGATACAGTAGGTTACAGTGAAAACAAAATGCAAGTGATACACAATTTGTATTTATAAACATTGTTCATTTAGATTAAGAACCAAGCCATATTAAATAATGAATAACAGGGTAATGCACATTGGCCTAATTGATCTAATTAATTAATATCCGTTTGGCTTTATTTTTAACCAGATCAGTATTCATGAGTGGAAGATGGATTGAATCTTCTGCAGTTATTGTATGAGCTTTTGAAACAAGGACAAACAGTTGCATACACATGTAAGAAAAATGTTTTCTGGTGTATGAATTGTTGCATAAAATACAAATATGTATTAATTTCTCAAAGTTAAACCCATTTTTGATTTTTGATTGTGTCCACCCAGCCTTGGACACAGATACTAGAATGATCTTCAGAATAATGTAGATGAATCTTGCGAAGATTAAAGAGGGATGGAATAATTATTTGTAAAACCCAAGTATTTTGCATATCTGAAACTAGAACTTTTTTAATGTGGCACTGTTTAAAACACTAAACAAAAATGTTATCCCATGCATTGCAATTTGTTCACCTAGATGGACATTAGTGACACTGTTTCCCATTGGCACACGAAGCAGAAATTAAAGACGAGGGCTCTGGTTTTCTAGCAAAAATCTTAATAATTCACTCAGGTGTCTAATACGCTCTGCAAAGCACTTCGAAGTCCAGCACCTATCAAATTTGATTAGTTTGTGAGGGGAAAAGAGAAACTGGAAATGAGAGAAACATTAATGCTTAAGGTGCAATCAGAATTGTAAGGGCTTTGGGTACCGGATTGCAATGTGATTCCAGCACATTCGTGACTGTAACTTAGCAACCGCAGGGCAGAAAATAGAAAAGGGAATGGAGAATAATTCAATAAGAAGAGGAATACGCCAAAGATCATAGGGAGGCTGTAGTGGTTAGACTTCCATATTGGAGTCAATTTCGTAGCAGCGTAGCAGTGCTTATGGAAATGTGCATTGATCTCGGTCATACAGAAAACTGCCAGTTACTTTTCATTGAGATAGCTCTTGTTTCCACTGGCACATTCGGTCCTGGGTTACAGTCACACTTCTTAGGTGAACGATAAAAGTCTGAAATTTTGCAAAGCTAAGCTGGTCACTGGTGGCACATGGATCGCTCACAGTACACGATATACTATATGTATTCTGATAGAACCAGTAATATCTTATCTCTGCATTCAATCTCATGAACAAAAAGTATAGCATAATAATTTATATTTTTCGAAATATAAGGATACAGATTTGCAGATCATACTGTAGATTGTATGCTTTTGTGAAATAGTTTTTTTATTGCACAGTTTCAGTTTTATAATACGGGTTTTATAACAGCTGTCCACTGACTCATCCATCCTGCCTGCTTCTTTCTTGTGTTTTTTTTTTTAAACTTTGAAAAAGATAGTTCTGTTAATCTAGTGTTTGGATACCTTCAGTAAGAGTTCACGTACAGTATATACAGCATTAATTCCCATACAGTATGTGTTTCTATTGTGCTAACTAAATGCAAAGGAAATGTTTTGTGTAGCTTTAATTAGAATATTAATATGACCACATTGTAAGTTAGCAGATCATTCATTATGCGTGAGTTAAGGTTCATAGGCTGGAAAGTCGTCGGTTCTGTTAGCTGGGCTGGTGATGTACTTCATTTTGGCCGCTAAAGGGCAGCAGAGCAAAGGCAAGGGTAAAAGCGGCATTTTGGTCAATTGCTCTTCAAACAGAACAGCGTGTGAGCATTTGTAGATAAACGTTTGCGAACGCAAAGTAGCACACTCAAATGTATTGATCTTTCTAAGGTCAGATATGAATGACTGACTTAATTCAATGTATTATCAAGACAAAAATCTGAACTCTTAAATATAAATACACCATGAACATATATTCGTTTTGTAAAGTAATATGGATTTAGAATATATATGTTACCTATTGCAACTCCAGTTGCTTAATTTGCACAGTACATACAGTACAAAAGCGCTATTAGAAACGCGCCGCTATTTTTGTGGGACGTTATAGGTTGCTGCTATTAAGGTACCAATTCAGGATTATCTGATCAGAGCCAGTGTGGTGTTGCTCCCAGACAGCCGGTACAGCCCCTTTTGTGCCCTGACTCGTGCCTGACTAAGCCGCTTATTAGCTCACCGGAAAGACTAAAACTTCGAATCTTGTACAAGTTATGATTCACTTCTCCGTCCTGGACCTACTGAGGAAGAGAGCGTCATTTAAAGTCCTGGAGTAAACCCGACTCTTCTCACAGAGACGCGCAGACTCACTTTAAAAATGGGGACATTCTCAGAGCGATTTAGGAAGACTTTTTGGACATTATCCTTACTCTTTTTTATGTCTTTTGAAGTTTGGGGTAAGTTTAACAACTTTAGCTAACTTTAGCTTTTTTGGTGCAAAGCTATACACTTTAGTTTACCTTCCCCTGTCGATGTGTGCATTTGTATTTCGACAAACTAACATTCCTCAAGTATGCATGTGATGTCAGTTGTTGTTTTTTTTTAGATTAATGAATATTCACTTGCATCCTTTTCCTCCCACATTCTGAGTTTTCATTTTTGAATATTCTTTTACGTCCTGCTTCGAAAAAAATATTAAAAAGAGCAGGGGGTTCTTTTGTGTTGAGAAAAATGTTACCACTGGAAAGCTAGAATGATACATTTGTAGTTTTTATTGAGGTTCTGTTATTGGAGGGGGTTGATCAAGTGGAGCGCCTTGGTTTGGTTTTGGGGCCATTAAAATGGTAAATCAATGATAATTATTGCTATCATCAGCATTCAAAGGGAAATTACAATGGACCAGTCTGAAGTAAGGAGACTTGATATTCAAAAATGTAAAATTCCCTTTTGAGCCTCAGGTTTGTTTGCATCGCGGTGCCGACACACCTAACGTTTTTAACATGCTCTGTCCACACTGAATAATGTTTGATCGAGAATCGAGATTGATTAAAAATCTCGAAATAAAATTGGTTTGCCTGCTCGGTTTTGTTTGGAATAGAAAATAATTGTTCTTCACCCTTTCTATAGTTTTTTTTTTAATAACATACAAACGATTATATTGCCAGCTTAGTAAAAGCTATTGACTTTTTGGCAATTCAAAAAGCTCTTGATGGATATAATTGTTGGGCAGATCAGTACCCAAGAGAGCATGATATATTTGGAATATTGTACAGTACAGGATGTATTGATTTGTTACAATTAATAGATCTTTTTCCAGGTCAAAAAGACAGTTTATTGAAAGTTTTTATAAAAGGTCAAAGAATGATGCTCTGTCCCAGTTCATTGTTGTTCTGTCTTTGAGCAGAAAGAGGAGACAATATGGCAGTTACTTTGGTTAAAACCTCTTTGCTGGGTTATACCATATATTACATGATTACTGTATACTTTATCAAACTTGGATTCTTTGTTCTTTTTGTGCATTTTATCTCTTTCAGATGCTCAGTACAATTACTGTACAAGAGATTCGCTGTTGCAGTGTCTTTATGTTTAAGTTGTAGTGTTTTCTTGTTATACCTCCCAATTTGGAATCACCTTGTGACCATAAACTCAGATAACCACTATGATCCTTGTACTGTATTAGCACAGTGTGCCACCCCTTCTCAGAAAGATGCCATTGAGCTACCTCTTTCACGACCTATACGCCCCCAGTTAGCAAGGGAAGGGAAGGCTGATATAGCTCTCACTGGTAGCTGCATATATAAACCATTATATTATAAATTGTATCATCAGGTTGAGGAAGATTCCTATCTTAGATAGCGTGGCAAGGGGTCTTCACATGAACCATCTAACTGTTTGTTTCCCGGATAACAGAGGCAATAACCCCTCGGTCGATTCCGGTTGGCCAGGTACGCTCATTAACCGTCTTCTTATTTACCGGCGTCCTGACCCGGAAAACGACCGAGGCTGCTACCCATTTTAACCCATTACAAGTCCTCTCTGACTTGTAGTTCTTATCAAAACAGTTATCTCTGAACTGACTCTTTACTAACTCATGAGGGCCCATGGGAGAGAGAGAGAGAAAAGAAAAAAACACCTCTGACTGGCCTAGGAACTGCTTTTATAGGGAGCTAAAGTCACCAGGTGCAGCCAATTGAGTGATTTCCCTGTGAGAATCCGAAGAATGTGGTTCTCCTAAATGGGATGACCCCGCCCCTGGGGAATTCGCCTTTTCAGCCTTTGCTCTGCTACACGGGTATTCTAAATTATGATAAACTAGAAGTTTATAATCCCAGTCAAGTGACAGGGATCACCACTGGATGCTAATCAAAGGACACTTACGCCCACTCAGCCCTTTTGGAGTTCAGCCATTTGTGTGGCACTGCTTGGGGAATCCCAGTCACAGCTGGGTGATGACAGCAAAATCTGAAGTGTATGATTCAACCTTCATTTCAAGAAATTGGCTATCATTGTAAAGCCATTTGGAAACACTAACCCATTCACATTTTCACTCAGACATACAGAACTGGAGTATTATGGATATCAACCCACACAAGGGATATTAGTGTGTACATATAGTTTTAGGAGGTTTACCAGTATAAGCATTTAGTGTGGTAAATCATGGGATTGCGATTGCAAATCAGTTTGATGAGACCCTTTTGAAGTATGATGGCACTTTTGCAATATGAAATACACAGAACAAGGTGGCATTATAGATGTAAATGTTTATTGCCCTACTAGTACAGTAGTCTGTCAATGATTTAGAATTAGAAAATAAAGTGACTTACTGGGCTATGATACAGATTGATTTAGAGGTCTTTAAAGCACAAAGTCTTCAAAGCATGATTAATGGAGTGAATTAAGGTCTTTTGTAGGTAGGGCATTTGTTCTTGTGTGTACTTATTATTTATTTGCTCATTAAACACCCTTATCCAGGGTGTTTATACTGTACTTACAGTGTATACATTGTCTTAAAGTGTTCATGTACTTTTACATGAAGTGTTGGTTCAAAGAAAACAAACAACATGATTCCAAGCAAGTATGGAAAAATGAATTAAATAAATGATGCAAAAAAACAAAACAGATCACAAACAGAACTGACAAGTATTGACACAACATACAGTATGCAGTACTGAACAGTGACGCATACACCCTGTTGGTATTGTTACAGCTATAGGTGTGCCACATGGCAGAGTAAACACTTTTATCTTCAAAGCAGAGGAGATGTTTGCTGAAATGTGGGGGTTCCCCTGATCAGAAAAAAAATGTTTCCTTGGTACAGTATACCTACTGTAGGTAATTAAAATGTGGGTTAATCATTGTAACTGAGCAGTCCAGTAACACACCCTATGGTCATATTAAGATCACAGAAGGGGAATGAAGAAAAGAACAAGAAAAGGAGAAAGGACAGGGAGCAAAGGAAGGTCAGTCCACAAGGAGCCAGCAGAAACTTGAAACTTGTGCCAGGCGAGAGCCCCCACATGATCATACTGTACAAACAAAACCTCAAAACCTGACTGGAGCTTAGTATTTGAACCTTGGTAGAGAGAGCTTGCTATTCTGTGTTTTTAGGGAACTTGGGTTTCCAGGGTAAAAGACATCTTTCCTTCTTAGGGTGCATTTGTAGAATAGGGAAGTAGGCTACCATTTATTCTGTGGCATCTTTGTTTGCAGAGAGAGAGGTTTAACTGCAGGTTGTATTGCATTTATTAAGAAGGCATCTTATCTCTCATTGTAGCCTCTGTGGGCATTATTCAAGAGTTGAATACTTACAGTAGTAGCAGTCTGGAGTTTTCTGGGTGATTAGGATGCTAGGCCTCTGAAATACCTCCTCTGTAAATACTGTATGCATAGAGTAACTTGGGTGTATGTTATGTTTTGTCTGTAGCATATTGTTTGTCTTGTCATAAATATTGTTTAACTACTGTACTATAAGTGTGCCTGGATTATTACTCTTTTCACCAAAGCTGTGCCAGAGAAAAAAGACTTCACATGCCTGTAATTTTACCAAAACATCACTTACAAGTTGGGGGTTATGAATATCGATTTTACTTATTGTGACTAAACCAGTCAGTTGATTCCAGATTTTCACAGTTTTCGTAACCCCCTATTTACAAAAGAGTATGTTTGTAATGTTAATAGTGATCTAGTGAAAATTACAGTGCATTACAAAATCGAAACTTGACTGGGCAGTTCAGAAAGCATGAAGAAAGTTTCTTAGCAGCAATATCACTCATTAATCCATGAATAAGACTGTCTTTGGAAACATAATCTGTGGGAGTTCACCACTTGCCCACTACTGTTCCAGAACACTGAAACTAATAGATCTTTCAACTTTCTTGGTACCATTTTCTTTTTCGCAAGATAAACTGATGAAATCAAGAAGCTCCGGTCATTTGGTTAAGTGCTATTCTTTTTTAAAATCAATCAATTAATGAAGAACTATACTACATTCATTTCAGTCCATCAATCTCTTTTGTTTAATTTTATAAATTGTACTAGGACCAGAGTTGCAACATTTCATAAATGTCCTGTTCACTTCTATCAATTATATTTCAGCTAACTGTTTTCTGCATTGTGGTTTAAGTAAATTTGTGAAAGATTCAAGAGATAAAAGTAAATGGGTGCAGTACACAGCCTTCTACCAAGATAAGGTGGGAGTATGCAGGCATTCTAAAAACAAGTTGTTTACAACATACCTTTAAGAACAGTGAGCAAAATAAGGAAATAATGTAATTAACAGGAATAGTATTTCACAGGAAAACCTTGTGATTGTTCTGTCATTACTGTTTATTGTAAGAGCAGTTTCTTTATACTTTATATTTTTTTTCTTTGATTGTGACCTGCATTATGTACAAGTCATGTCTTTTCTGTCTTGGAGAGGATCACTGGCAGGACCTGGGAAAGTGGGCTCTTGAAATGAGATGGAAACATTTCTAACAGAAGTGGTCATTATGGCTATATTGAGCGGAGTATGTCTTTGACTGATAAAATGTGATAAAAATGAGAGCACTTGTTATTTATTGTAACTTTGGTGTGAATACCATCTTTCAACAGGAGTAAAAAGAAATTAGATGACTTCCAGTTTTTCTAAACTTGTGACTGCTAATCCATCTAATATACAGTATAGTTAAAATGATACTCTTTTGGGGATTTTCAAGGTCAAAAATACCTCTGTCACGTTTTATTTTTGTAGCCATGTCCCAATACTGTTGGCGAGACAATTATTTTCTTTCTGTGATTATCCAAAAAGAAAGGAGGTAAACAGATCAATGCACTGCTTGATTCAGAGCCCTGCATCATGCCTGGGTAAATCAGCACACCTCTTTTTAATTACAACCTATTACCTGCTGTGTCATGACTGTGGGCAGCATGTTGTTACCCAAAGTAATCCCACAATTGCTTCACAGGCCTGCATATTACCAGATGTAGCTAGAAAGGAGCAGCTTTCCAGCATATCCAACAATTACATGAGAGAAAACAAAGCCCTGGGTCATACTCATGGATGAGGCTGCGGTACTGTATGTCTGGACTGATGTACTGGAACATGTCTGAGCAGCAGAATCATTGCTGTAGCAGAGTTAAGCAGGCTTTCTTTGCCTGTGGAACAGCTCTCATATTACCTTCGTTGTGAGAGTTAAGCCAGAGATAAGGTGAACTCTTGGGGCTTTAATGAAATCAACATTTTACATTGTTAGATTCACACAAAAGTTTACTATCAGTCCAGCCACCCTAGACTTAACCCTGCGTCAGAGCTGTATTAAGATAAGAGAACAAGGCTTTTGCTTTCAGTCATTCCTTTAATGCAGCTCTCCAAGACATCTGTAATTGCAATGGCCTATCTAACCAAGCTGCTTACAGTATATACAGTATGTCATGTGTGCATATTTGCATTGTGTTTCCTCTTAGGTTCCAACATCTGCACATCCAGAGGAGTAAGTACTTGCAAGCAGTGCCTTGCTGTCCACCCAAGCTGTGCTTGGTGCTTTCAGAAGGTAGGACAAGTCACAAAACTTACAGATTTCCGGTATTTTAGTTTTGTATATCCGGTTTATAGGATAATGCTCTTTGCTCTGGTGTAAAATTTGCTCCAATTCACCTGATTCCAATTAAATTCATTCCAAAACTAAAGTAGGCTTCATTCAAAAATATAATTGTGCCAACTCTTTTCTATACGCCTCTGTTCTGGGATAGATTTGCTTATTAAACTTTTATGGTTACTTATGTACAAAACTGGTATAAAACTTCAGATGCATCCAGTTTCACTCCACCAGTTTTAAGGTCCTATAGATTTCTATAGTCCCCTACTGATTAACCTACTTATTTGTTATTTTCTAATACCACCCAAGAAGTCTTTGTAAGGTCAACAATTGATTTATTATCTGTATATTATGCTGATCCAGAATTTCAGTGTTTTCCATAAATATTTTTTTAAGTGAAATAATACAAATGAAAACAAAATTGAAAGCTCGTTTATGTGATATAAACATACATTATGCCAAGATCTTTACTACGACAAAGTAAGTTGCCTCTTGTTTTGTTATATCTTAATCCATATAAATCCTGAATTTCGGAAAAATGTATTAAGGATAAAGGTTACTTCGGGGTTGGAATGTGGATTAGAAAACCTGAACATGCTTTGGTAATGAAACATGCCGTGGTTCATAGGAATCTGTATACAATACTGTTCTCTGCACAGATTTACATTTTCAACTCGGGTCCATTTGGCATAAAATGCAACTTTCTTCCTAGAACGACTCATTTGCAAAGAATTTGCCATAAACTCGCCCAGGCCTGCCCTGTTTTCTCCTTTAAACATTTCTGCTGTGTGAACCAGTTAAGTAAAGTACTTGTAATCTGAAACAATTGTCTTTTCTTCCCTTAAAATGTCACAAAAGTAAATATAGCACTATGAAAAATTCACAGCCACTTTTTTAAACACCAAAAAAAAAAATCATAATCAATGGTTATGGAGAACTCCAATATACAGTATGCAGCTAAAATCACTAGAAAAAGCAGAGAAGTTCACTGGAGAGCAAAGAGCTTTACAAATGATCCTTTGCATGTTTTTAATATTAATGATGATGTAGTTAAACTGAGTGCTTACAATCCACTCTTGATGTCATCAGACCACAACATGGGCAGGACTTCTGATGCACCCAAAAATGGTGAAGTTCTTTACAACACTTCATCACTGGTCACATTCCTTTCATAGCTGCTGGGGGCTGTAAAACAGCAATTCTCAGGCACTGGCTTTGTCAGATTTGTTCCTTACAGAACATGTTAAATATGATGTTGGTAAGATATACAGTATAACAAGTAACAGAAAAAGAACTGTACAGTAGGTGGAGGAAGAAAAACATTGATAGTGAAAATTAGATTGCATTGTTTGTTTATTTAACTTCCTTACGTACAGTATGGGCTAGAGTGGATAGTTTTTGTGAGTAAACCATAATATTTTTAACTTGGAGGTTGCCCGTTCAAATGCATGGTATCCCCATAGCTGAACCGAATTCAGCTGGGGTAGCTGGAACTGATTGTGTGATCCTAGCCACACTCTACAGCAGTGACCTATTCGTAATCAAGAACTTAAAAACAAGAGTATTATCAATCAGTCATCAGACATGGGCATGTGAATTCTCTACTTGACTTGGGAAGCCCTGATGTGTGGTTCTGTGATTATAGCAGAGTGCAACTGCCTACTGTATTTGGAATCGGGAACTTAAGAAAAGTTCCAAATGAGAGGAAGCCATTGGTCCATGTACAGTAGCTTGTCTACTTGCTAGCAGCTCCTGTGATTGATTCAAGGTTCTCGTTCATCCACTTCATCCACCGAGAAGCCTGGGCGTCAGCTTCAACAACATGACAACATTGTCCCGGGCAATCACAACCTTTTGTGTAAAAGTGCCTCCTGCTCATTTTATTGTGATCCAACATTTAAAAGATATTCATTTTTTTAAAACAAAGTTTCCATTTACGGGTTTTTTTTATAATTTAAATATTGCTTTTGTCCCCCAAATTTCTACTTCCCCCAGTTTGGAATTACCAGCTTTGGAATTAAAGTGATTAAATTGCCAGCTTGTGTAATTACAGGATTTTGGCCAAGGATCCGCAAGCTTGTCTCGCTGTGACCTGAAGCAGAATCTGTTGAACGCAGGCTGTGAGTCCAGCTCTGTCGAGTCTCCAGTCAGCTCTGTGCGCACAGAGGAGAGCAGGCCATTGAGTGACAAAGGCTCTGGTGCTTCCTCTGACATCACCCAGATCTCGCCTCAGAAACTACAGATCTCCCTGCGTCCTGGTAGGAACCAGAAGGTTAAAAACGCACAAACACTCACAAATCATATTCCACAATCTGAAGAGGAAGTGTGCATGCAATTCAAAAGCCAAAGCAACGGTCTTCTGTCATGCTAAAATAAATTTCAGAATGACAAGAATCAACCTTTTAATTTATTGGTGTTACTGTTTGTCACAACATAAGATAACAAGCTTATTTCAGATATTATTAGTACACATCTAAAATTTTCAAGCTTAAATAGGTCACTATTACCCCTTTTTAGGTCTACATATGGTCTTGTGCAGCACACGTTCAGGAGGAGGTCAGATTCTGATCTTGCACTTTAACTTTGCTATCTATACTCACTGGCTTCCCACAGCTCTTTGTGTATCATTTCAAGGAACCCCTCACTTCACTTCAATTTACCATCGCAGCACTGATCTCTGGCTTGTCATTTCCTTAGCCAGGCAGGTTAATGCCAAAATATTAAGTGTTCTATCCATTTATACTGTATATATGCTGGATATGCCAACTCATATTGTTATTAGAACTTGGCCAAACTATCAAATAGAGATTTACTAACTTCCTCCAAAGTAATTCTTTAGAGAATATCATCCAGAGTACAAATACATTTTAAATGTATTAATCATGTATTTAATCATGCTGTTGAATATAATAGAACTCACCAACCAAATGAATAAACTCTGGCAGTGGCCGGGAAAGTGTATGAAGCACTTTCATCAACTTCAAGATCTCACTCTACTGAAAAGTGGTAGATGTGATGAAATGTACAGTGCCAAATGGCCATGCCATTACCAGCATCACATCTTTAACCTAGATCCTGCAAGAAAGAAATGGTTGGTATTGGGCTGCCAGATTTTCAGGACCATGTGAAATACATTCCATGTCCTTTTCAAACTGCTCCTACTGCTACAAGAAACACCACGTTATTGGCAGGGGGTACCTCGAATTTTAGCCAGTGAGAATATGTGGAATTTGTTTTGAATTCGACTGTACGTCTGTCAGATTCTGTTCCAAATTGAAAATTGTACATGCTGGAGAAGAGACCTTTTTACCTATTTTTTCATGTAAACAAGCAGTTATAGTACTTGTAGTGGATTGAAATTGAAGCCGAAAATTGAGGATAAGCAAAGAATAAGTGGGAGTGAGTGTTTGCAAGTAGGGATATGAGATCGAGTTCTGATAGAAGTAAAGCTCTGGATTTGCCTTCCAGATGATGCCAAGGTGTTTGAAGTGAAGGTGAGGCAGGTGGAGGACTACCCAGTGGATCTGTATTACTTGATGGACCTTTCGTTCTCCATGAAGGATGATCTCATAAGGCTGCGAACGCTGGGCAATGACCTGGCTATTGCCATGGGCAAGACCACAAGCAACCTTCAAATGGGATTTGGGGCTTTCGTGGACAAGCCTCTCTCACCTTACATGTTCATTTCCCCCAAAGAGGCTGTGGAGAACCCGTGTTATAGGTGAGTGTTGTCATACAAACATATGAAAAGTTGGAAACAAGAGGAGGCCATTCAATTTAGTTCTTAGTAGCTAATTCATCTCATCAGCATCAAGAACACGGCTGGGTAGATTGATTTAAACTTTCTCTACTCTCCAGTTTCAGATAAATGGAATCAAACACTTCTCCACATTGACACTGACTTGTCTTCTACCCTAAAGCTATATCCAGGGTTGTCACAGCAGTGCTTTTTATTATGTATTTTTTATTTTTTAATAAGTAGTTCTAATGCCATCGATAGATTTAATATGTCTTCACATGTTACAGTACAGGACATCTATGCAAATGAGATGTATTTGTATGTCTGGGAGGATGTCAGAGTGTCAATGTGAGCCAGATTGCTACATTATCCCCACTTCAAATCCCCCAGGTTCCTGCAGGAGACAGAGGAGGCTTTTTGACACAAAGCTTAGTCCTAATTCAGTAGAAGGCAGAAAGCGTGAGACTACATTTTTCAATGTTTCTCAGAATATTTTGCATAACAGGCATTTTTCAATCTTAACAGTTGTTTCTTTAGTATTGGTAACTAAAAAAATATATACATCTGCTCTGCCTATAAAAAAATATGAAGGGCACAGCTAGGGTCAATAAAGTATGGTTATTTAATTTGTGAAACCTGTCTGAAGAAGCCATCCAAAAAAACCAAGGTGTACAATGCTGCAAAGTAATGGATGGTTCTATTGAAACTTGGTTTTCCACAGCATACACACGACATGTTTGCGTCAGTTTGGCTACAAGCACGTCTTGACTCTAACAGAGGAGGTAAACCGTTTTACAGAGGAGGTTGAGAAACAGAGTGTTTCCAGGAACAGAGATGCCCCAGAAGGAGGATTTGATGCTATCATTCAGGCAGCTGTCTGCAAGGTAAACCTCACCTTCCGCCCCAAATGACACACACCCAGCTGTCGGCAGTTTTAGAATATTGTTTTTTATTAGCACTTAAATTCAGGTGGGCGGCATGGTGGGCCAGTGATTAGCATTGCTGGTTCGCAGGGCTGTGGCCGTGTGTTCAGTTCTGGACCTGGTGCTCTCTGCCTGGAGTTTGTATCTTCTTCCCATGTTTGTGTGGGTTTCCTGGTAGCTTAACCTCTGTGACCTGGATGACGAGGTGGATTTTGTTCAGATGTTCCTCTATATTTCAGATTGAAAGTTTAAAAGTTATGTCTGTAGCTAAAACCAAGTTTTTCTTATAGTGTAAGAAATCTACAGTACATAGAAAAAAAATAAAAAAAATTAACCAGATCATCTCAAACCCTTCTTCTGCTTGTTATCATCATTACTATTGCCATTCCTCCTTAATTAAAAAAATATATATTTTTAAATCAGCTTTATTATAAATCATTATTTATTTCTATGTCTCAATAGCCATATTAATGCCTTTCATACATATTTGTCATTTGCTATCTTTCATAACTGTTTCACTCTGGGTCACATTATTATAAAGGAACAAGTAATAGGTTTATTCCATGCTGAAAAGAGAAGAAAGAAAACACAACGTTTCGGCCATGGAGCCTTCTTCAGGAGTCACTCTTCTCTTCCTTCTTCTCTCTTCCTTCTTCACTCTTCCTTTTTCTCTTTTCAACAGAAAATAAACCTGTTACTTGTTCCTTTGCAGCCTATGTATGCTGACACAGCTACCCACCTGAACTACTACACATTATTTATTATCAAGTTGTGCATCGTTTTGCAAAGTGTTGCTGATAAAAGATGTCGATAATACCTCACCTGTCCATAGGAGAAGATAGGCTGGCGCCCAGGTGCTTCTCACCTTCTTGTGTTCACCACTGATGCCAAGACCCATGTGGCTCTGGATGGCAGGCTGGCGGGAATAGTACAGCCAAATGATGGGAAGTGCCACGTGGGAGCAGATAATCAGTATGACATGTCAACCACACTGGTAAGGGCATTGGGAGAGGGAAATCAAGCTTAAATACAATTTGTATGTGTGTGCCATTCAAATTCATCTATCATGGGTCTTGCATTCACAGGCCAAGCAGGCGGCTGTATAAGCAAACAGTATATAATGAATGAGTAGACACCATGTTCGTGTTTATATTTCGTTGTGATGAAACCTGAACATAGTAAAAATCAAAACAGTCAACGAGCAATCAACAAAACTGACTGGAGATTAACACTGCCTGTTTTAGCTCATTTTGGTATTTTGTCACTGTATATGGCAAGTTATTGTAGTTTCAGTTAATAGCACCTTTCACTGATTTATGATTATAGGCCTTTTTTTTCAATCTGTGAATGTGCTAATTGGTGTGCTTGTTGATTTGCAATATATAATGAGATGTGTTAAAATGAAACAAATGAATATCGGAACTAATATCATTTAATGTGCTTTTAATGGCTCTCAGTGTAATGAAAGAAATAGGGAAATTGATGCTTTATGGAGTGGCACGTTCTTAGTTTTGGTCTTAAAGAATTCTTTGGAGAGGAAAATGAATGGCACTTTCTTGAAATTTTTAGTTCTCAAAGAAAAATATTGTCGATTACCTGAATAGTCGTTGTTATGAGTAGCACACAGATCTCTGTATTTGGGAAGCTGCTTCTCTCTTGCTTCAGTGATCACATAACACTTATTTGATTTTTTTCTTTATTTGTAGGACTACCCATCCCTGGCTTTGCTAACAGAAAAAATGTCTGAAAACAATATCAACCTGATTTTTGCTGTGACTAGCAATGTCGTGCAGCTTTATCGGGTAGGAATTTCAACTTATTCTAGAAAAACCATGAAGGTGCTGTGCCAACAATAACAAAGCATGGGTACAGTCAAAAATAGAGACAATTAAAATAACAGAAAAATAGAACAGGGCTTATTGAATCAAAACCATAAGCTTCCTTAAGGCCCAACCTTCAGCAATTGTGGTTAAAATAAACTATTTGATTCAGGGCAAGTATGCAGTTGTTCTTTCTTCCACAAAAAAAAAAAAGATTTTAAAAATATTTCTATACTCTCTTTTATGCTGGTTTTAATTTTTCCAAGCTGTATAAAGATTACAGTAGGTGCAGAAGAACAAGATGCTCAGCTAAAACTAAAATTAAAATTAAAACTAAAATCTCAATTTATTACATTCTGTAGCTGGTAACTTTTGAAAAGGTCTATGAAACTCTCCCTCGTGGTTTCATCTTAGGCTGTAGTTTGCCATCTGACAGATGTGTGTTACCAAAACCTGCTGAAAATTCCCCTTTTCACGGTTACTTGAGGAGAAATGTGTTATGTGTATCACCATCACATGAGGATTTGAGCCTAATCTTATCCATTGCTGATACACTTCTTATACAACATAATTTCCTCTCTGAACACGCTACAGCTGGCCTGCTCGGCAATTAATTCAAATAAAAAAGGTGTATTCCTGCCTTTAAGAGAACTTGCATGAACAATTTCAAAATACAGTACTTCAGTCTTCTGCGCAGGATACAACAGGGGTGTTTTTGCAGTACGAGTACGTAAACTCTTGAATGATGCTGAAACAGTGAAACAAATGAGCCAAGGACAGAAGCCAAGACGGAATGTGTTTAGAATTAAAACAAAAGGCACATCTTTATGTAAAGGACTGTGACGATCCTTAGCAACTTGCTCGACCGTGCTGTCTCAGCTGATTCCTTCGGATCTTTCAAGGATGGGATTAGTGAGATCCTTGGATCAGTCATTTGTTGCCTCCACTCGTCTATAACCTCTTTCAGTGTACAGTATGTCTGTGACTGCACAGTGCTGACTGCTGAGGCCCATTTTTCTCTTAATGTTTTTTTCACTCATATGCACATGTGGAAGTGCTTTTGTTTTTTTAGTTTGGCTAAAATTAGAAACCACTGTTTCTAATTGACAAAAAAAAAGAAACAATACAGAGGGAGTTTTACAGTAAATATAAGCTCAGAGGCAGGTTCAAACCTAATCTGTCCAGTTCTGCCTGTCTACATAGAAATATCATGTTTCTTTCTGATTCTCTTGCGTTTTTCATATTTTCATCCTTTCCTCCAGCTCATCTCCACCCTTGCAGCAGCTTTCTGGCTCATCCTTCATTAAACTGAAGGAAAGGCAGGCCTGTCCCGATGGAGAGGTTATTGTTGTCCTCAGCACAGACCACCGCACTAAAACTCACTGTCTGAATTAGACTGTACCACCTTAATGACTGTAGGTTTGAATGACCTATGGAAATAACATTGGTGCTAAAAAAATAAGTGCCAGCCATTTTCCCCTCTTTTTAGAACTACAGCGAATTAATTCCAGGAACGACTGTGGGAATCCTATCGGATGATTCAGGCAACGTCGTCCAGTTGATTCAAGATGCTTATGCAGTGAGTTCTTCTTTTTCTGATATACAGATTATTTTAGTCAGTGAGCAAAAGCAGTAATTCCATTCAACATTACAGCAATAGTTTGTCTTTAGGTTATATGTACTGTAACTTTCAGAAAGTTTTAAAAAGTCATATCCTTCTTAATGTTTGTCCTTCTGGGTTAATAATCAAGTTGCCTGGTCATTCAAATTTTATGATGCAGTTTAATTTGTTCAAAGGAGTAAGTACTGTAGTAAGCTCAAAGCAAAACCATAATATATTTTCTAATATATTACGGTAATAATATATATATAATAATATTTATGAAAATCTGTATAGTTTCAAATACTGTTATTCATTATATAATACTGTAATACAGTGTAATAATGAATAATTATTTAATTGTAATACTTTATAGTAGTTCATGAAGATTTCTTTGACAAATTGTTAACAGTAAAATAATATTATAGATGATTAAACAACCAATAATAATTATAAAAACAAACATAAAACTAAAATTAGTATTTTGGGGTTTATTGTATATGAATTTAAATATTTCTCTAAGACTAAAATGTATGTGAAAAGTTTGCAGCTCTCTTGAGTACATACTGTTCCTGCAGGTGAGTTTGTGAGCTTGACATAAAAATAGCTTGTTTCAAAAGTGATTCTAAATTTTCCTAAATTTTTCTCCCCCCCCCACAGAAAATCCGTTCCAAAGTGGAGCTTGAACTTCTGGGTGTGCCTGATGAGCTTTCCCTGTCCTTCAATGCCACCTGTCTGAACGGAGAGGTCATCCCTGGACTGAAATCCTGCTCCAACCTTAAGATAGGAGACACGGTCAGTATGTTTGATTGCTTTTTCTTACAAGTATCCATTTAGATTCAGTGTGACCATACTGTATGTATTATATTTTGTGTATATACATACAGGTCCACTGTATACTGTATATGGATTCAATTGCACACACGTACTTTTATATAGCCTTTACTTAAAGTCACTTGGAATAAAAATGTTATTTCCTCTATGACAAGGAAGCAGCCCAATTTTCCTTTATCATATTCAGCTTCATTATTATGACTTTTATAATAGTATATCCAAGTAGGTATATTCTGTTGTTAACTTGGTGATATATTTTTACATATATATAGTACTGCATATGGGTTTGTAGTTTTTGTTAAAGAACACCTATGTTTATTTAATTACTAGCTAATTTAATTTCCACAAAGCGTTCAAAGAAAAATACAATAATATACTTTTCCTTTAGCTATATATGAATAGAAAAAAAATATATACTGCAGTATTTTCAAAGGAGATGAGGCAGGCATGAAAGGAGTAATAAAGCTTATTTTATAGTGATTAACCCTGAAGTGAACAAAGAAAAGATACAGATGTTCGAATCTTTGTCTGAAAATCTTAAACAATTTAATCAAAGGGACGATAGATGCCTATAGAGTGGACGATAGAGTGGAGCAGTGGTAAGCATTACTGCCTCACAGTGCTGCAGCCCTGGGGTGCTATCTTTGAGCAAGATTCAGCTCCTCTGTGACACAGAACTGGAAGAAGTGGTTAGAGGATGACGCAGATATTACTGTCTCAACTAGTCAAATGTTTGTCTCTTGGTCTTAGAAATTTTTAATTAAAGTTGTCCACGATTCACAATGTAGTTCGTATTACACCTTTCAGTTCTGCTGGTCATGAGACCTACCGTAAATATAAATTAAATTAAAAAAATAAACATTAATTATTGATGAAAAATCAGATGTTCAGACATTATATTAAACATTAGACTGACATATATTTACACTGTTGAGTAACATACAGTAACATTAAAACATTGACAAACATTTGTTCCTGAATATGTGTTAATGTTCCAACTGAAAGAGCAGAGGTAGGGCGAGACTCTTTAGCCTGTTTGGATCCATGACAAAATCTGTTTCCATTCAGTGACTTCAGCAGATCTGACTCAGCCATGGTGTTTATGAGAGACTTATTGTAACAGCCTGGAATGTTCTGTTCATACATCCCCCACAACAAAGGCACACACGCACACATTACACACACACAAACACACACACACACACAAACACACACACACAACCAATCAGTAATGGTAAAAAAAAGTTGATTTCAATTCATGAAAAAATTATCTGCCACCGATTTATCTACCAACACACCTTTTCAGTTGTCCTTTTTAAAAAAAAACAACAAAATACAATATATTGTCAGTCGCTTCTTTACAATTTTCTTCAAACAATTGCATTCTTACGTAGAGCCGTTCAATAAAAGCAATAAAAACTATAAAAATAAAATTCCAACCGAAACATGTCATTAAGATCTTTCCAAGTCAGAACCCGTTGAAGAGTTAAAGGCCATCGACAAGATTTCATTCTCCGGGCGTCTTGCAGATAGAGTTATGGACCTGCTGAAGGAAAATAGAAAACAATTTACTTCACAAACAGAAAGCTTGCTGGGATTGTGGAAGAGCTGCACAGATGACTCGTGTCTGTTTCCTGAAAAACCCAGGTGTCCTTCAGCGTGGAAGCTCGTGCCAGGGGCTGCCCCAAAGACAAGACGAAGACCTTCACCATCAAACCAGTGGGTTTCAAAGACTCTCTGCAGATCACGGTGAACTTTGAGTGTGAGTGCCAGTGCCAGGCCAAAGCGGAACCAGACAGCCCCATCTGTGATAATGGAAACGGCACCTACGAGTGTGGGATCTGTCAGTGCCTGCCAGGCCGTCTAGGACCCCGGTGCGAGTGCTCTGACGGCGACTACAGTCCCAGCCAGCAGGACCAGTGCAGCCCCAACAAGGACAGCCCGACCTGCAGCAGTCGGGGAGACTGTGTATGCGGCCAGTGTGTCTGCCACAGCAGTGACTTTGGCAAGATCTGGGGCAAGTTCTGCGAGTGCGATGACTTCAACTGCCTGCGATACAAGGGAGAGCTCTGCTCAGGTAGGACCCAGGGAGCTGGGAAAGCCTCTTGATAAGGTAAAGTGTTTAGTTAAACAAAATACACTGAGGCGGGTATTTGGCCTGTTTCTTTTGCTCAGTGTATGATCAGCTTATAGAACAGTAAGTTGGTTTCTCTAAAAAAAAAAAAGTGGAGACAATATGTTCCCAAATTTGGTGGAGGCACAGGCATGTAAAAGTTCTGTAAATACCAAGTCTTTGGGGAAATGCTGGAGTTTAAGTTAAGTTTCTGAATGCCATAAGATCACATGAACAGCATTTCCACATTCCCCAAAGAAAAGTTTACTTTTTTTAGTAAAATGAAATTCCTTGCAGTCATGGGCATTTATAAGATGGGCCAGTTGTTGCTCCATATTCAGAAGCATTGGTTTGCCTCATATTTAAATAATTCAAGTCTACAGTTTGTCTCCATAAAATATTATTTTACATACAGCTCGGATTTAAAATATGTTATGTTTTGAAATGTCACAGGCGGCATTTATAAACAGGTGTTGTAGTGAGCTGAAGTAAACTGTCCAGATTGTCTGGGACAAAGCAAAGTGCTCTGTGTGAGTGAGCCTTATGGGTATCACTCTGGATGACACACAAAGGGAAACATACAAGGGCTGTAAGGACAGGCTCCTCTGCAATATCAGCATTACTTGGAGTGCTGAGGAATTAGTGTCATCACTCTCTGCTGTTTACACTTTGCTCCATAAGATGAAATAGAAAATTTATAAAAGATCCAAATGCACTGTAACATGAGGGAGACAAAAGACAGCAACTTAACTCCACATCCACAACTCCACACAGATTTGATTTGGCTGTGTATGTTGTATCTGTTTCCTTGTTCAGTATTTAGGCTCAGTCATATCCTTGTGTACTGTGTTCTGGTCTCTTCTCTATGGAAATATTAAGAGCATGGTTTTTGGAAGCAGTACAGTAATGCCACTCTCCTACCAACATTAAAGCTGTCTTTTTTTCACTCAATTGACAAGTCTCATTATTATCTGTTTGTAAGCAGATGGTCTGCTAAATTTAAGTTTCCTGTGAATTGTTTCTCACTCTTATTAATCTAAAGACAGGATACCCTGTCTGTGTTATCTTCTTCACAGTGTGGAGTTGTGGTTTTGGTGGTTTCATATTCTTTTTATCAGCTGTAATGCTTCACAGATAATGTAGCTGTTTAGTGCTTCCTTGCCTAAAATTTGTAGTTTGTGGCTT